GGCAATGATGCCCCTGCACGCCCGAGCCATCATCAGCACTCCACGCCCCTGCCTCCCTGCACACCGCGCCTTACCCCAATCCCGTGCCTCTGCACCGCTGATTACTGCAGCCCCCATCCTTGCCTCACATGCAGAAAAGACAAGGAGTACCGGACAAATTGGCATCATTGATTGACAGAGCAAGGCCCTTGTCTTTTGTTGCATTTTATTTTTATTTTTATCATTTGGGGTATATATAGGGCAAAAGCAGAGTAATGGGGTTGGTTGGAGAGTTTTTGAAGTTTGATTTAGAGGAAGGGGTTGGTTTTGGGTTGATTTTGGGTCTCTTTGTGGAGGAGTCTCGTCTGAGTTTTTGAGAGCAGAAGAAGGAAATTCTGAGGAGAAAAGGGGGGTCTTTTGCTGGTTGATTTTCGAGTTTAGTTTGAAAAGAAGATCGATTCTGCTCGCTGGAGGTGGGAAAACAAAAGGGTATTCTTGCTTTAGGTAATCTCCTGAACAGAGGGATTTTTGGGAAGGATAGTGAAGGAGACGAACGGAGCCTGGTCCCCTGGGTGGGATCCCTCCCTTCCGATCTGGATCTACCTCCTAAAAATTCCGCCGTGGGTGTTTTATTATTTTCTGTTGATTTTGTTTAGATCTGTGTTTAAGATTGAATGTGTTTTCTTGAAAAAAAAATGAATGAAAAGCCAAAAGAAATTATACAGTTCGTCTTTATCTGATGAATGTATTTTTATTTTATTTTTCTGTTATTGTTTTTTTTTTTTTTTTGGATTAGATGTATATTCTGGAGGAACTTGGTTTGGAATCCGATGAACTCTGGTTTTCTGGTTTTGTCTGCATGTTTTTAATCTTTTCTTTGCTTATTTTCTCACTTGGATTCTGTTTGTGGGTTGGGTTGACCCGACCCAATCCAATAGATTAATTATATAAAAAAAAAAACGAAAAAGGTTAAAAGTAAAAAAAATCAACAGTTATCTCTTTTATTTCAATTTGGCACAATCCGTTCATGTTCAAGCACTTTAGTCCAAAAGTTTCAAACCTTTTCAAATCAGTCTTTTATTTTTATTTTAATCAAATCAGTCCATTTAATTTTTATTTGTGTTTATTGTGCATGCATGTCCTTGATTTTGTCTATTTCAGTCCAAAAATAAAAAAAAAAAAGATGTTTTGATTCGATTTATCCCTTTTTTAAGTTTGCTTATTAAGACCCAAATATAAACATAATAAATAAGTTGAATTAAAACCCCAATTTTAAAGTATGCAACCGTGTTTAAACGGAGGATTGTGAGGTGCGCGTATGCCCTTCCTCACTCCTAACTGAACCCCCGAACCTCGATCTCTACGCAGACCTGTTTTAGGTGACTTGTCCCACCTTACAATTTGGACGAGTGGCGACTCCCTCCTTTCTATATTTTTCACACTTGATTTTTCAATTTATTTTGAAAAAAATCTCAAGTGGTCGTCAACACTTGGTTGGAACAACCTGAATGTAAGGAGATGATTGCGAGTGTATGGTGTGACAACGAAGTGAAGGGATGGAATGGATTTAAACTTAAAGAAAAGCTAAAAAGAACAAAGATGGCACTAAAGGATGGAGCGGCAAAACCAACAAGGAGATAGATGAAAGAATAAAGGAAGCAGAACTAGTGATCGCTTTAGTTGATGAGAAAGGAGAGCAGCACCAGTTGTCAGATAATGATATTGAATTGAGGAGGAATAGTTTTATTGAATTGTGGAAGAATTTAAAAATCAAGGAGAGGATGAGTCAACAAAAATCAAGAAAGCAGTGGCTAAAGGAAGGCGACGCGAATACAAAATTCTTCCATAGAAGCATCAAGGGAAGATGGAGTAGGAATGAAATCAATAGTATCCGGATAAATAGGGAGCAGCATACATGAGTGGAGGTCATAAAGCGAGAGATTGCTAAGTACTTCCAAGAATTGTTTACAGAAGAAAAATGGAGGAGACCAAAGCTAGATGGAATATGCTTTAGGCAAATCACACAGACTGATAATGAGCTCCTCATTGCTACTTTTTCAGAACAAGAAATTAAAGAAGCAATATGGAATTGTGATCCATCCAAATCCCCAGGACCAGATGGATTCAATTTCAGATTCATCATGATAATGTGGGAGATTATAAAAGCTAATATAATCAACTTTGTACAGGAGTTCCAACAACATGGCAGGTTGGTCAGAGGGTCAAATGCCTCTTTCATTATGTTAATTCCAAAGACAAAAAATCCACAAGCAATTGAGAAATTCAAACCCATTTCGCTCATAGGCGTCACATACAAAATCATTGCAAAGTTACTAGCAAACCGATTACGAAAAGTGTTACCTAAGGTGATTGGGGAGCAACAGATGGCTTTTATTGAAGGAAGGCAATTAGTGGAGGGAGCAGTGATTGCAAATGAGATTATTGATGAAGTCAAGAGGAAAAGAAGAAGGGATTTCTATTTAAAGTCAACTTCGAGAAAGCCTACGACAAGGTATGCTGGGAATTCATTAACTACATGATGATGAGGATGGGTTTTGTGCAACTTGGAGGAAATGGATACATGAGTGCTTCAATTCGAGCTCGGTCTCTATTCTAATCAATGGCAGTCCGACGAATCAATTCCTGGTTAATAAAGGCATCCGTCAAGGAGATCCATTATCCCCTTTTTCATTCTTGATTGTGGCATAAGGACTGAATGGACTAGTGTCATCGGCAATGGAGAAGGAAAGGTACAAAGGAGTGGTAATTGGGAGTGGAGATGCGATGGTCACACACCTTCAATTTGCAAATGACACAATTTTCTTTGGGGATGCAACGGAAGATAATATTTGGGTGATCAAATGCATTATGAGGACATTCGAGTTAGCCTCAGGGTTGAAGATTAATTTCAGAAAGAGCCAGTTGATTAGTGTGGGAGTAGATCAAAATTGGTGTGCTAAAATGGCATATCAATTGTGCTGCAAGGAAGGGAAACTACCATTTATGGGAGGCCACATCATGGTCATCAATTCAGTGCTGTCAAGTCTGCTAGTGTTCTTGATGTCTGTCTATGTTATCCCAAAAGGTATAATTCATTCCATTGATAAACTACGTAAAAGCTTTTTATGGGGGGGTGGGGGAAGGGAGATGAGAGAAAAATAAATTGGATTAGCTGGGATAGAGTGTGTAAAAAGAAAGAGGAAAGAGGTTTAGGAGTGAGGGACTTGAGGAAATTTAACTTGGCATTGATGGGAAAATGGTGGGGATGACTTGCAGAAAATGGGGAGGCATGTGGAAAAAAATTATTGTTGAGAAGTATGGAAAGGGAGGGGGACATTGGCAGGATTGGATTGTTGAAAATAGAGTAGGATCAACTTGGTGGAGGGATGTGTGTGATATCAACACAATGGATGGCGGCAGCAATGGATGGTTAAAAGAGGGCTTTAGGGTTAACATTAGGGAGGGTAATACTGTTAGTTTCTGGTGGGATAAATGGAAGGGAGAGGAGTGTCTTGCTAATATGTTTCCAAGACTGTATCTTTTATCTACAGAGAAGATGAATATGTGCATTGAAATGGGAAGTAGAATAAATGATTTGTGGGAGTGGAATTTAACATGGAGGAGGAATTTGTTCAATTGGGACATGGAAGAGGCAATGGAATTACACAACATGATTCAAAATGTGCAGATTTCACAATGATGCATGGATAGCTAGGAGTGGACCCACAGCAAGGATGGCCAATATTCAACAAAATCAGCATACGCAATATTAACAAAAGAGGAGAGGGAAGCAACCGAAATTACAACCTTCACAAGAATTTGGAACTCCGTTCTGCCAAGCAAAATCTCAGCATTCAACTGGCAATTACTACTAGACAGGATACCAACTAAAATGAACCTGTTGAGAAGAGGGATTATAAAAGACATACAAGAATGCAAGTGCAGAATATGTGGTGAGGAAGAAGAGGACACAAAGCATCTGTTTTTGAGATGCAACATGGTCCAATGGTTATGGATGGCTTGTGCAAAGTGATGGGGAATTAAAGTTACATTAGAAGCGGACTGTTGGAATACCTTCCAAATTCCTGGAAAAGAACCAAAAGAGAAATGTATTAGAGATGGATGGGATTGCATTTGGAATTCTCTAGTGTGAACGGTGTGGCTGGCCCAAAATCAAAAAACATTCCAAGGCAAAGAGATTAACCAGGAGAAGCTGTTGGAACTCATCCAATTAAAGTCATTCCATTAGATCATAGCAAAAAAAGAAAGGTATGCCTTCACTTTAACAGACCGGTTTCTTAATCCAGTTGCATGCTTGAAAGATTGCCATAGGAAAAGAAGGGTACCAAATGAATAATCTGTGGGAGGGGATGGTATTGATGATATCTGGAAGGTTTTGTCTATGTTTTTTCACTTCTGATGTTTGAATTGCTGTATAATGGGGGCTCATAAAGGCTTTATTGAGCAATTATTGATTATAGTGGATTTCAGCTGTAGTCAATGCATGATCAATGTCGTGCGGGTCAATGGGTGTGACGGCCGATGTTTTGTTGATCTGAACATGGAGATTTGGTGAAAATGCAAAAGATGGCAGAATCCCCGTTACAAGTATAGTATCTACACTTCATTTGGGTGTCAACACCTTGTGTTAACTTTTGATGTTTATGGGTTTGGAGTACCCCTTGTACTCTGTTTATTAATAAATAATATGTTTGCTGTTCAAAAAAAAAAAAAAAAAAGGGGGGGTTAGAATCTCTGGATTAACTTTGCTTGTTTCATGACCAAGTTATTGGCATAGCAAACTTAATTCCCTGGTAATCCAAAGATGGACTTAGCACAATTCTTTTCTTCGCAATTGGGATAAGTTTTGTCTATTCTGGCTAAAACTACACTCAGTTATCTATTCTTTCCTCAACTTACATGATCTCTCAATATTATATATAGTTTGTAACTTGTTATGAACAAACTAGATTGCGAACTTCAATTTTATTTCCTTCTTGATTGCCCATTTCATTCTCTCTATACGTATTCTTACCATTTAAAAAAAAAAAAAGGGGGCCAAAGAAAATGAATGTGTTTTCTCCTGCAGCGAGGGAGTTTTGGAATGTTTGGGAACTGAGAGTATTGGTTGTATTAAGCCTCGTCTTGCAGATAGTATTAACAGTCTTGGGAAACCGTAGAAAGTATAGTCACAAAAGGTGGCTCAACTTTGTCCTTTGGTCAGCCTACTTAATGGCGGACTCTGTCGTGTCTGTGGCACTCGGCATCATCTCAACCAAGATTGGAAAAATGCCAGCCACCAGGCGTTCTCTTGATCCTGACATCCAGTTGATTGCGTTCAGAGCACCGTTTCTTTTGCTTCACTTAGGCGGCCCTGATACCATAACAGCTTACTCCCTTGAAGATAATGAGTTGTGGCTGAGGCACATGCTCTGGCTGATCGTCCAGACGGCCGTTGCATTCAACATCCTTCTACTGGTATGGATAAGCTCCACTCTCTCTTATCTGTCCTTGCTAATGATCATTGTCGGATTTTGCAAGTATGCGGAGAGGATCTGCGTTCTTCAGTCAGCCAGTAGCAACAATTTTCGGAAATCCTTGCTGACTTCCCCTGATCCTGGGCCTCCTTACCACAAGTTCGTGGAGGAGTACCATTTCAAGCAGGCGGAAGGGTACAATGTGCTCATTGATGATATCACCGAGCCTACAATTTCCGAAGTCCCTACTAGACGTGGACGTCGCCTTTGGCCTAGGGAAGAAATTGATGAAATTCGTCAAGCTCACATCTTATTCCCAATATTCAAGCGTCTCTTCGTCGACCTTATACTCAGTTTCCGTGACCGCGACAACAGCCGCTCTGTCATTAGCGATGCTCGCAGTGAAGAGGCTTTTCAGCTTATCGAGATCGAGCTTGGATTCCTCTATGACCTGCTCTACACAAAAGCAAAGGCAATTTATACTCCTTTGGGATTGGTCAGGCGTTTCATCAGCTTTTCCCTAGTCTGTGTTTCCTTCTTTGTCTTCATTTTCGTGGTATGGCAGCATCATCCCACAACGAGTGAAGTTGCAGTGTCTTTCTTACTAATCTCATCAGCGATTTTCCTTGAGATTTATGCTGCTTTAGTTCTCATTTCATCGGACGAGACTGATGCTTGGTTGAGCAATAGAAAAATAGGGTGTGTTGAGGAAATCATCACTTCTCTTAGTTTGGAAAAAGAGCCGAGATGGTCAAGAAGTACTCCTCAGTTGAGTCTCCTAAGCTTCTTCATCAAAGAAAAACCCTTGATCTTTCCTAAACTCCATAAGTTCTTGGGTTTGGATCAAATGTTGGAGATGTGCTTTTATGAGACCCACAAAGAAGTAGAAGAAGATTTGAAAGGATTCATCTTCAAATCTCTCAAGGAACGACAAGGTCAATTGGGAGATCTACACAGCCACTGGGGAAATTTTCAGCTTGGTGACCTTGATTGGAGTGCATTGAAATGGAGCATTGAGGTGGATTTCAACCAAAGCATCCTCATTTGGCACATTGCTACGGAACTCTGTTACTATTCTACGAGAATGGTTAAGGAAGAAAGCAGGAACAAAACAAGGGTGGAAATCGGAAAACAGATTTCGAGTTATATGGTGTATTTGTTGCTCGTATATCCTTTCATGTTGCCAATGGGGATTGGGGAGATCGTGTTTCACGATACGTATGCTGAGGCATCAAAGTTCTTTGATGAGAGAGGAAGTAGTGGATTATCAAGGAAACAGCGGTTGTTAGAAAATACCCGGCGTAGGAAATTGAATGCTGCTAACATGTTGTTGGAGTTAAAGACAGATATTCAACCGAAAAAAGTTAAAGGGGACAGAAGCAAATCTGTGCTGTTTGATGCTTGTAGGCTGGCGTGTTCGTTGAGAGAGTTCAAGGACAAAGAAGCAAAATGGAAGATGATTAATGGGATTTGGATGGGGACATTGACATATGCAGCAAGTCAGTGCAGAGGAATCCACCATGCTAAGCAGCTGAGGCGAGGCGGTGAGCTTCTCACTCATGTTTGGCTTATGATGGCTCATTTTGGCATTACCAACCACTTTCAGATATCACAAGGCCATGCGAGGGCTAAGCTCACCCTACTATGAATTCATTTCCAAAGAAGAAGAATCTTCCCCTGACTTCTTCTTCAATGGAATCTTAGGAAACAAACTTGTTTTTTTTTTTTTCCTAATATGACTAATGATAAGTTATATAAGAAAAGATATATCTTTCCTTTTTCTAAATACCTTCTTATCATTCGATTCAAGATTCGAATTTAAAATCTTCAAATTGGAATCTCAAGCTTTTTTAATTAGTTGAATCACCACTATGAAGCACAAACTTGTTCAACTTACTGACCAAATAAATTATATTGAAGATCTATATTTTGATTCTTGTACATCCTCTGTACTGCCTATTTATCCATCCAATTTGTGGTATTGAACATGTTTGTATCAAAAGCAATTGCCTAATTATTAGATATTTAAGGACTTGTTGAAAGTTTTAATGTGAAACAATGAAAGGGTAAAACAAGGTTTGAAAAGTTAAAGATTGTCATTATTAGATAGCATAGACCTTGTAAAATCTATTAACCTTGAGTATAAAGAGACAAACTTGACCTATGGCAGCTCAAAGAACCATTCGCAGGAATTTAAGATTCTGGAGTTCTCCAAATGAGAAGCAAACTTGGCCTTCATAGAGTGCTATGTCGGTTTTCTCGTTTGCCTTTTATTTTTATTTTCTGTCTTTGCATATTACAAATATTAGTATTCATAGGTTTTTTCTTTTTACTTGTATAAAGCATAGTATTATTAGTACTAGCATTTATATTCATTGTTTATTTGGCATTTTTTGGTGCAATCTTAGCTTGTTAATTAAGGAAAGAATGGTACAATAGTCAAAATAGAACAAGATATGTAATTACTGACCTTTTGAGATTGATTCGATCTGCAAAGGGAAGCAAAATGAGGAAACGCAGGCAAAAGATGGAGTTTTATTATGAGATTTGTGTAAATGTGAGGAAAGGTTCAGTGAGGGTGCATGAGACTGGACTTTGAGAAAACGACAGAGAGATAAAGGTGGGGTGGTTGAGGTGAGATGAAGAAGATGATGTGTGAGGAAAATAAGAAGAATAGTAAAGAGGACGTGGGTTTTTTTACCAAAAATGGAAAGTTGATATCGGGCCGGCAGAGAAACAGATTTGGAGTTGTTTGGTGTGTTTATCGTCTTGCTTGTTTATCCTTTCGAGTTGCCTAGCCATGGTGATCGGTTATGTACGTATACTGAGGCGTCAAAGTTCTTTGATGAGAAAGGAACTGGTGTATCATCAAGAAAAGAACTGTTGTCAAGGAACAGGAAGCAGAGGAAAATCCAGACTGATGGCGGAGCCAAAAATAATTTTTAAGGGGATGAGAAAAACATTTAATTAAGAAATGGTGTTCATGAGTACAAATTGAAAAGTCGATAAAGAAGAAAATTTTTTAAAATTTATTATAAATAACATTTATTAGTCTTTAACATTAAATTAATAGTGGTTGATGAAGTGATATAAGTGTCATTAATTGAAACAAAATTTGAATATATATAATACATAAAAAACAATAATTCATACACCCTTTAATTTTACACACCTCATAGCACATTCATTAAAAAAGTATTGTTTTCATTTTCAAATTTGAATTAAAGACTAAAAGACCAAAAGTTGAAAATCTTAACAATTGAATCGGAAGATATTGTAAAATGTATTAAATAAGAAGATATAACACATAAAAGAACAATAATTCATATACCCTTCAATTTTACACACCTCATAACACATTTATTAAAAAAGTATTATTTTCATTTTCAAATTTGAATTAAAGACTAAAAGACCAAAAGTTGAAAATCTTAACAATTGAATCGATAGATAATGTGAAATGTATTAAATCAGAATATGTACTAATCATTTTTCTATGTAAAAGAACATTATTGAAAAAAAAAAGTAATTAATGAACATTTTATGAAATGACCATACTGAATAATTTTTAATTTAATTAATCTTTATTTTTTTTATCTTTCTTATTATCTATATTCTCCTCACTTAGAAATAATATTCAATAATAAAAAATAAGTAAAATGATAATAAAATTATTCAAGATAAAATAATAAAATAAAACTTAGGGACCAAATTTCTAAGTTTTAAAAAGGTAAGGGGGGCCTACCCCCTCAAGCCCCACCGATGCTGCCAAGATGTTGCTGCAGATTAAAAGTATTAACAATTTAGTCTGGTGATAGAGTTACATGCACTCTCAACCACTTCCACTCCCCTAAGATTTGAATCCTATGCCAAAAAAAAAAAAAAATGTTGCTGTAGATAAGGACAGATAGTCCACGGATAGAAGCAAATCTGTGTCGTTTGATGCCTGTAGGTTGGCATTTCGTTAAGTGAGATCAAGAGCAAAGAGGTAAAATGGAGGATGATTAATGACATTTGGATGGAGATGTTGGCTTATGCAGCAAGTTAGTGTAAAGGAATCCACCATGCTCAGTAGCTGAGGCAAGGCGGTGAGCTTCTCACTGATGTCTAGGTCTAGCTCATGATGGCTCAATTTGTCATCATCGGCCACATTCACAAGTCACCAGACCATGCCAAGGTTAATCTCACCGTAAGACTGTTCTTCAAACTTTTTCAGGAATTGAATCTTAAGAAACGAACTTGTTTTATTTACTGACCAAGTAAATTATTGAAGATCCATATTTTATTTTAATTTTTGTACATACTTTATTTTGCCTATTTATCCAAACAATTCGAGAATTGAACATATTTGTATCATAAGCTATTGCCTAATAATTAGAGATTTGAAGATTCAAGTTGTTGAAAATTTTAAATTTTAAATTTTAAACATCCGAAAAAGTAAGATAAGATTTGAAAAATTAAAGATTGTTCCTACAACATAACATAGAGAGCATAAAATGACACATTAACCTTGTGTATATATAAATCAACAATAAATTTAAACTTGAAATGATCTTTCAAGAACCAGGATCATTTATAGAAACCAGAGTCATACGACAGAGAGCAGCGACATTTGCTATTTATTTATTCCTTTATTACAAACATCGTATAGACCATCTTTGTCAGATTTGAAGGTGGAGTCCCAGTAAGTGTAAAGCGACACAAACACGGTAAAAAGGAAAAAAACAATCGAATAGACGACAGAGTAACACACAACTTAATTAAACTAGGAAGCTATGAGTTCAATCATCGCGACGCAGCAGCCTGAATTTCCTTGACAGTTGCACCATGGATTCGCAAACCTCCCTTCCATTTGCCACTCCAGACTTCGTACAGTCCGAAGTAGAGCCTTGGGTCAATGGCATCTGCGGGAACGTCAATTTGAAAGCTATTACTGTTTGGATCTGGAACATCGATGGGTTCCTTAGGACACTGCTCCAGTTGCGAAAGCCTTTTCCATATGTACTTGCCTCTCTTGCCTACCTTAGCCATCAAAAAAACAGGGCTGTTGGCCCACCCGAAGGCATCCGATTTCATGCTCAGCTTGAAGCTTATCTGATACTTCTTTCCCTTGTCAACTAATACTGAACCTGTTACTTCTAGCCAAGACACTTGAACCAGCTCTGTTGGATCAGACCTACACAAAAAACCAAGGTAAAGATGCTAAGAATCAAGGATAGACAAAATAAGATTAGTAATACTACAAGCATCTTGTGTCCGAATTAGAAGCAATTATATTCAATCCTTAAAACAGGCAAGGAAGGGTTTTGAGGAATGAGCAGACCATCCCTAATGCAAATGAGAAAAGAAAACCAACAAGCTGAACGTTGGAAGGGATGGACGGACCATCCTATTGTAAATCTCAAGGAAAACAAACTTGCAAGTTCAAATCTTAAAATGGGCAGAAAGGGGTTTTGGAAAAGTTGGAAGACAATCCACCCCTATTCCTTTCCTTGCATAAACCTTTGCTGATTCTCTGCTCTCTCTAGTGGTGTTGTGAGCATTTGATATTCAGAAGGGAAAAATTTCTTACCCTGATTGGGCTGGAATTCGCCAATAGCGAGTGTCATTTCCCCAGACTATGTTGAATGCTCTTGGTCCCAAAGCGTACTTACGACCTTCACCTTCCTGTATAAAGAAAATAAGAGGAAAATTCATATACATAAGAGAAGCTATTGCATATATAAAAGCATTCTTAACTATGCTCACCGGGGTGGTTATGTCACTGATGTCTGCATCGTAATGAGGTTTGGATGCCATTTTGAAGTTGGTCCGTACTAAATGTTTTGCAGGGGTTGTGTTCAAAACGAAATGTCTAGAGATCCCTTTTTATACATAAATAAAGGAAAAGAGGAAGCAAAGGAAAGAACAAGTCACTATTTTCCAGAGGAAGATATGACATTAACACGTAAGAATCAAAATACCGTAAACTTTATCAAAAGAACACGGTTCTTAGCCTTTTGTTCTAATGTTGAAAAAAAAAAAAACAAAAAGAAAAAGAAAAGAATATTATTAGGCAATGGCTCATATTGCCCAAGTAAAGTATATATCCTCTATTTTATTTGATTTAGCAATACCTAATATTTAGTGGAATTTCTAACAGAATCAATAGATGTCAACCTTGAACAACTACGGTAAATGCTGAAATCCATGGACGACCTCACCCTCAATTATACATAAAAACAAGTGGATTTCCCTGGAGAAGTTCTTTAGCGTCCCGGGATATCACTTCAGCAGTATTCCCAACTAATTAAATGGTGTCAGCTCATCAATACCACTAACTCAATTACAACTTCGCTCTTTGAACGGGTTGATGAGCTAACACTACCCGCACCGAAGAATGCCCTTATTCCTTGGGCGAATATGGTTCTTGAATTAAAGTGCATACCAGTAGTATATCACCGTCTTCATTGCCTTTTCCTCTTCTTCACCTCTTCCTCCTTTTTATGAACTAAGAATACTTGTTATTCTTCTTCATCAGCTCAAAGTTGATGTTGATGTTACAAATTAGGGTGGACTGATCCTTCTGCCTCCAGTTGCATGATGAGAACGCTTTGCAGAATCTGATGCGGCTGCTCTTTAGCTTTATGCCCGTGAAATCTGAAAAGAATCTGCCCTTTACCAATGACTGACATAGCCCTCAATTGGCATCACTTTCCAAAAATTGACTCTGGTTTTAAGTATTCTTAACCTTTGATAAAATTTTTGAGATTACTTACAACAAAAAAAGAATCTACAATTTCATGGAAACACTAAACTATTAATGTACACTAATAATTTCAATTTCAAACATTAAAATTGACAAGAACAGACCTACAACACTTTTGGTAAATAGTTATCCAAACTGAAATACATTTTGACGATATCACAACACAGTACAACTATAGTTACAACGCCAAACAACAACAATCCCAAAATATAACCTTACTTCTCAGAAAATGATTGTATGGATAAGAAGAGAGCAAAGGAAAGTTAGGTAGATAATGGAAAAGGAATAACTTCGGTGTGATGCATCCAAATGTTCTTTATCAAATTTATTATTCAGAAACTCTCTGCCACTTATATGATATCTCAATGGCTTGAATGAAGCTAATACGTACACTATTCGTTGGAACTTTAACAAGAGAGGATGATGCCTAACCCTATAGTTGACACTGCTTGCAACTTAAGGCACACAAGAACCTTATAATTTTATAACTATTCTGCAGGAGTGAATTGCATAGAGCTTTAATACATAACAGTGTCTACTCTTAAGTTTCTAACCATTCGTTATGATTATTGTCTTCAACTGCTCCAGAATTTTCTCATGGAAATCTCAGCATCAACAGAATTAAAGCTACTTGATGGAATACATCTATGGATACACTTGACCTTTCTGTCTTTCTGTCTATCCCGCATGCTTTAGATCCCACCGCACTCTCACAGCCGAAAGAAGAAAAAGAAATAGGAATATATCTAACAAGTGACAATTGATACCAAGTCATGTTTGGCGGCCAAAACAAAATATCCTCAAATAGATGGTAGCCCTTCCAGAAAAACAAACAAAATGAATAATTGGATTTGTGGAATAAAATGCCACAACCGAAAGAAATTCTAGAATTTTGACAGGAAATTTTCCCTGTGCATTTAGACAAACCATTTATATTCATCCCTTCACACGTAACAACAAAGTGAAATTGTGCGAACTATGACAATTGAAGATTAAGAACCAAGATGAGCTTAGAATCCTATATAAACTGGGAAATCATTTTAATGTCAGAAGTTCCACCATAAGCCATCAAAACTTGATGTTTTAAGCAAACACATCTAGAAACTTTCTTCATGTGTGTCCACACACAGATATTCTTGACCTAACCTGAAAGCTTAAAGCACTGAAGTATGAAAACATGCAAACTGAAAAATATAAACACACGCACGCACACATCCAATTTCTCAATCTGTCTACACAGCAGCAGCACGTACAAAAAACTATAAGTACCTAACAACAACAACAAGCTCTTTGCATCTTTCCATGACTTCATCAACTATTCCCAGAAGCAACAGAAGTATTGGTCAAATCTTCAGCTTTTACTGGCTTGTGCAGCTGTAGTAAAAATAGGTTTTGATGTAAGGTGAAAGAACTAATCTATTATGTCTACCAAGAAGAAATTAAAAAAGAAACAAAAGCCATGAGACTGAAACTATGATCATGAGGCTATTCAAACAAGGGAATAGCAAGCTGCCTCAAACGTCACAAGGGTTAATGGATTTGATTCCATCTGTAAAATAAATTTGGGTTCTATTTCAAATGGGCAACCAAATGCTGAAAATTGGGTTCCTCAAATTTACATAGTTACCAAGTCCTTTTTACATAGTTATCCTGAGAAATATTATATATGAGTCAAACATCATTATCTATGACCAAATATTTATCCATACATCTTTAGCAGGCCTTATTTAGAAATCATAAGAAATACTGCACTTCATAAGAAAGAGAAACTTACTGCTTCTGCTACTGCAAATCAATGGAATCATCGTAAAAAAGCATCATCCTTAGAAGGAATGCTTTCATCATTCCAATATGCTAATTTATCAAATTTCCTCCCGTCTCCCAACAGTTTGGGTTCCCTTCAGAAGTAACGCGAGCTCTTTTCTTGCCCAAGCTCTTCTTTCCTAGAACAAATCCTTCAAAGAAACCACCAAAAAGATTCACTTTTCACAACTTGTACTAAAAACAAACTTTCAAATGACTTAACAACCTCATACTCAAAGTAATCTGAATTTAAAGCCACCCAAATGCCTCCTAAATGTCAAAACCTAACTAGGTTACAGCCCCTCTGATCTTTAGGCAAAGTTATCAACTTTTTCTTGAAAATAAAGTTCGAAAGGGCCAATAAATATGTTGAACGAAAAAAAATTAAGATAATGGAATAGAATTAGAATTCAAAGTTCATGTCCTCAGCAACCAAAAAAGAAATCATCTTGAACAAAATTTGAAATGGGATTCATAAATAAGTGCCACATAAGTGGTAGCTAATAACATACCCGAATAGCCATGCGGAAGACAAATGGTACTTCCTTGCAGCTTTCTTCCCCTGAAGTAAGCTTGTTCAACTCTTAACCCATCCACTTCCGTCCCTAAATAGAACCCAGAACAACAATCATCCATCTACATCTAAATGTAATTTCAGACTCATAAAGAGCACATGCATATGCAAGTAGAAAGCTTGCCTGTGGCTCTGGGTTTGACATAGTGAGAGACAGAACAAGGGCCGTTGAATTTGATGCAGCAAGGGTGCTGATGGACCTTGCCAATTATGTTCACTTCCTCTTTGTTACATACAAAATTGTAACTGAGGGTATTTTACTGGTTTGTGAGTCTATAAAATGGGCATCTGATGAAGTATACTGAAAGTGGTTTCCCTCCTTTTCCTCTCTCGACTCTGTTTCTTCTCTGAATTCTGCTTCTTTATCGTTCTTCTTCTTGATTCTTCCTTTGATTCTAGATTCTTTCCCTTTAATTCCGAATTTGACTGTAACAATTTGATTGTAACAATTTGACTGTAACAATTTCATAGAAGTTCCCAAATTCAATTGTTCACTCCTCTGTCAATCCTATAACCCTACAAACCCAAATCAAGATTCATCAGTATAGAAGCCATGGCTTGAAGATACAGATTTTCAAGAACTACAGAGAGAGTTCTCTGAATACCAGAGAAGACATGATGCTGATTTTGCAAATTTGGAGGAGAAGTTGTCATCCATGGAGAATGCTCTAAGGACGGCCATAAAGAATGCTCTGAGGGATGGGTTTGCCGTGATACAAGCAATCAATGACAGATGGAACTCATCGGCACTGGAGGTCTCGGACAAACATCCCAAATCCAGATTCATACAACTCGGCCAGATTCAAGATCAAGATTGCAATGTAAGGGATTCTGGTACTTTTAATTCGTATCCGATCTTTTGATGGCATGACTGAAATTGGAGAAATTGAGTTATCTTTGGTACCTACCCCAGCTTCTATTACACAAAGATTTGATCTTGAAACCAAAACCCCTTTGGATCCAGAACTTGAAGTTAAAAATGATGGTATACGTTTGGGATTAAGCGAAGAAACTAATGAGATGAAACTTGAGGAATTATATCCTTTGGGGAGTAAGAAAAACGGACTAGTGTTTGAAGAAGAAAAAAAATGAAAACTCAAGAACCCAAGGAATATGATTTTGGATTACCAGTTCAATCTCCTGTGGAATTGAAATACAAGATTCTGGTTGTTAATTTTCCTGAAATGATTGAAGATAGCATATCAGTGTTGGGAGCCAAGTTGTTTGATGCTGATGGTTTTGTGGGACTGAACAATTTTATGGTGAGGGATTACAAGAAACGCAAGAAGAAAATTGTTTATAGATAATAGGAAGGGCTATCATGTTGAATTGGATGTGTGATGGTCATAAAAATTGTGTATCTTTTATTGATGATGTAAATTTCCAAAGAAAATACTTGGATATGCTGACATCAAATGGCATGTTGATAAGTTGAATGATACCTTTTTGACTGAAGACATGAATATGCCATTAAACATGATGGATTGCAAAGGTATTGTGGTGTACATAGTTGGAGACGTTGTTCAAAATTTTATTAGAATAGAGACATGGTTGTTCGGGACTCCAAGAGCAACTAGCCATATTGGTTGTATTGGGAATGTTGAATCAGGGAATGGAATGGAAAGACACTCAAAAAGTGTTGGTGTTAATATACATGGTTCGGTGAATAAGAATGCTGCACGGACAAGGGCTGGCACTGTGGTAGGCGTAGAAAACGACAAGCATTTGCCAGTTTGGTATTCTTGTAGTTTCAAGCATTTGAAAATACCAGTTAATGGGACATTAATTGAAAAGGATAGGGTGCTTCAACCCGTTTTTAGTGGCAAGGGATGTATCTTGAGCACACTAGAGAATTCCTGCAGCGTTCTCTAAAAGAACCAGTTTGACATTTGCTTTGTATTTGGTATTATGAAACTGAGGATACATCGTGAAAAGCAGATTGTAACGAAGTAATTGGGTATTGATTTTTTCCAAGAAGTTCTGAATAAAGTTCTAAAGGACTTTAAGTGGTACAGAAAAAATATATATATATTTGCCAGAGGACAGATATGGTGTTATGGGATTCTTGTTTGGCATATGTCCTTGAGGACAGGGACAACTTAAGGGGGCTGGAGTATCCCAGTGGTATTGACATAGAAGAGACAGGGGAGGAGTAATATGTTCATGAAATGCTCCACATATTTGCTGAAATTTTAGTGATGTGCTATCTGATAGAAGAAACATGGATGTTGCTTTTTTTGTGGCAGAGTTGTACATGTTGTATATGACTTTGTTTGACAATACTTTTCGGAGCTTTATTTTTTGATTTTTATATCTTTTTATTATTTAAAAATATATAACCTATTAATTAAAATAAATGTTAAATATATAAAATATATTTTATATATTTTTAAAATATTAAAGGACTAAAAAACCTACAGTTACAATTACAGACAATGTTATCAAACTAAGTCATAAGTTCTTGATTTCAACTCATCAACCTTTTTTTTTTGGATAAAACGTGAAATTTATTATACAAAAATTGATTTTACAGTAAGAAGCAAATTAGCTGCTACAAAGAATACACTCTTCCAAAACAAACTATCAAAAACTACACCAATCTATTCCTTCACAACATCTTCCAAGCCCCATTGCTTAGCAATATGCATAGGCAAGCGAGAAGACTTTGGCTGAGCAAATCCCACGATTTTGCACCTTACATGAAACTGAACTTTATAGACAATCTCACTATCAGCTTTAAAATGTTTTTGGTGAACCCTCCTGTTCCTTTCCCTCCATGTGTGGTACCTTACTGCATTCCATGCTAACTTAACAAGAGTATCTGCAAATACTTTCTATTGATCTTTTTCCCCATCCAATGCAATAGACCCTGCCATGAATTAGTTAGGGGAATGTCTATCATAACACTAAGTGTTTTCAAGATTTTCTATGTGTAGATGCATTTAAAGAACAAGTACACATTTGTCTTTGGCTCGCTATCGCATAGAACACAAGTGTCAACAATGGTGGGAGTCCACTTTCTTGGTCG